TATGCCTGCCACGAAATCTGCACTTCGAGGTTCACAGAGTGCTGTACGCATGGAAGCGGCTGCCGCCCCAGGGACACCTGCGGGGCTGGTGGGTTCGCCGCAGCGTCGTCGATGAAGTCTGCAACTGCATGCTCAATGTTGATGCTGGCAGTGACCTCCGCGACCACCTCTGGCGGATGGTGGGCCAAGTAGAGCTGTAGCGACCGACCGTGCTCGGTCGGCACGGCGGAACGGCGTGCAAACCTCTAGTGATGTAGTGCGCACTCTCATGATGCATCGTCGCCATGACATCTGCGGCCTGCGGGAACGCGTGGACGCGCGTTTCCAACCCCTGCGTGGTCAAGGAATTGAATCCCATTCTTGTTGGGCGATGTCAGCAGGCTTGATCCCGCTGTCGATGGCGTGGGCGAGGTCGACGGCACGTTCGCAGCCATCACTTCGGGTTCCGGGAGTGGGCCGTAGCCGGTGTTTGGTAGGCCTGCTAGTTTCAAGTCACTTGGAAAACCCCTTAGGTGGAAAAAACCTGCTCGGTGCGCGCGGACCCCAAATCACTGCAGATGACCGCTCCTCCAGTCCCAGATGCTTGAGCCTTTCACTGCCTCCAGTCCAATCCTTCGACAAGGCCTGGGTCGTCCGAGTCCGGACCGGCTCGGTGACAAGGACGGATCCACGTCGATCCAGGCAACGACCCAGGGGATGCCCGTTTGGGTCTCCTTATTGGAAAACAGACCCGAATCCTCATACTCAACCCTTGGATTTCCTTCTCCAGGCACCGGGCAAGAATTTCGAGGTATGCTCCAGGATTGGGGGATTTACAAGCATTTACGGATGGATTTACCGATTTACACCCGTTCCGCAAAACCAGGTGCCGCTTTCTCCCTTTGAGTCATCCCTGCGAAGGGGCTGCAGACTGTCTTCCTTCTTGGAGCATCCATTGATCAGGGGACTGGCCTATTGATCACGGCATTGGTTGATTTGAGGGGTCTGGTTGAAGACACGGATGGTCTGGCAGGGACTGGTTGGGAGTTACGCCACCATGAATGGGTCATGACATGGGTGGGGGCTTAACGTATACTACATGGCTTCCAGTTCCTATGGATGACCTGGGGAATGGTTGATGAATAGAAGACCATTAAACCACCTGGATCCAGATTCTTTTCCAGCTACCAGTGTTTTGTATTGATCAACACAGTCTACATCATATAGCTTGTTCTACCCTCTCCCACAAACTTTCGCACCTGTCAAGAAATCTTGGCAGATTCTCGAATTCTCCTTCTCTGCCAGGTGGGACCCTTTTCGTTTGCACCGGGTGGGAGTGAACCACCCACGCCCCACGTGCAACAGCATTCGGTGGAGGGTGAACATGTCAAATCCATGCAGCCATGCTGTTGATTCATTTCCCAGACTCTACATAGGAATGGAGTATGTAATTATATAATTACCTGCACTGACCCCTGAAATCAACCACCCCAAGTGATCAGTAAATAGGTTAGTCCCATCGGTGGTCTGGGTCGAGAGGTAGATAAACTGTTGAATCATCTCATATCCACACATGAGTCCATTATTGTTTGCGTCAGGAGGTAGTCAAACACAGTTGTGAGGACATAGATTAAGTTCGGTTACCTGCCAAGTTCAACTATACGATGCCACCTGCACAAACAGTTTGCAGAAGGACTGACATACCATGCCAACAACCCGCCCTTGGAGCTTGATTGCACATATTGCTGTTGAGGACGGCGTTGACATAGTCATCCCAAAACGCTGTTGTCATGGTGCCACCCGCCAGGTGCCCTCAAATTGACGATTCACGTGGTTTCTTTGCGCATGTTGAGGATGCAAGTAAATCATGGCCCTACTCAATCCGGGTACCCTGTCGGCACACCATTTATCACCCCCGTATGCATTGGGTACCTTATAATCTTTTCACTAGAGCATCAGGTTTCCTCCTCTCTTTGCTTTGTGGTTTAGAGTTTGACAATGGCTGGTTGAGCGTTGACAGTGGTTGGAGATGTCTTCTAAATATAGAGTTTCTGCTTTATGGTTCAGGGTTGAAATGACTTGATACAGTAGATGTTTTTGTCTTGTTGTGGTTTGTAGCAGTTGCGAATGGTTGAAATAGACAAAAGCAACTCCTAAACAGTTCATAGTTTTCCTTGGCGAGTAAAGAAAGCCACACGGAAGCCAGCCTCGTCAAACGGCTTCACCGGCAGCTCCTGGACGTTGGCCCACAGGGAGCTAACAAAGATTCCACAGTCAGTACTGCTGAAAGAAACCCTGCGCCAGCCTTGGCCGGATCAGGAATGTTTCTCTATTTGACAATGATTGGAGAGCGGGCATCTCTCACGAAAAACAATCCACTCATTCTCCAACGATGATCGAAGTGCACACATTGTGTCATGCCGGATGGAAGACTGTAAATTGCCAAGAGCAAACGGTAGATGCAACCACTTTCCATGATTGATTCTTGAAATCCAACCATCAAAAGTTAAACACCTGAATCATTTCACTAAGAAATCCACATAGTTTTTTGAGAAACTACTTAGACCATCTTAGACCCTCCAAACCCCTCCCCAAAACCCTCCTTCTCAGGAAAGGTCTTTGGAGCCCAAGGCTTTGGATTTGCCGGTCTCGAACTACCGTCTCGTCGCGCCCCAGGACGAGACGCGCCATCAGTGGAGTTTCCAGAAAGGACACCCCCAGCTTTGGAAGGAAGACGTTGGCTCTATCCCAACCTCCCGGGGCCCATCCCAACCTCCCGGGGCCCATCCCAACCTCCCGGGGCCCATCCCAACCTCCCGGGGCCCATCCCAACCTCCCAGGGCCCAGTGGATGATGGTGAGATGGCAGGCTGACATCCTTTAAAAGAGTATCATGTACTGCCTGTCGTAGGTATATAGTAGGACAGACCAAGGAATACATATGGAACACCCAAACATCAAATCGGCCAAATGGCCAGGTCACGGCAGGTCAAGGCCTTGACAAATTGTGGGCCCCAGAGAGAGAGAGAGAGAGAGACTGAAAAAAAAAAACGCAAAGCACCACATTCAGACATAGAAAACAACCGAAATACCATTAGCCGACCCTCCATCATCGGCCGGTCCTCGCTGGACCGACCTCCTATAGTGTTTCTTGTCTCACCGATGCAGGGCGCCCCGGGCTCCTTGAAGGGTGGCATATAAGCTCGGAGCAGGGCTTGCATAGATGGCCAGTTCCTCCCAAGGCGGAAGCGATGGACGAAGCGAAAGCGCTCCAAAACACTTGTTTGGCAGGCCATGTAGGGAAGATCCATGTCAAATTGTGGTACTCTGACGCAATTGACATTGTATATTCCTCAGGACAAAATGCTTGTAGTATACTGGCCTGAGACCGAAATCCATTGCAACAAAAAGGGTGCACTTGTGAGGAATTGAATTCGGGGGGGCGGATCGCTAAAATAGATCAACTATTTCAAAGCTTCAGGTGCCAAATGCTACACCAAATGTAAGTCTGCGGGATGGCAGCAATAATTCCCAGGTATAGCTAAATTCAATTTAGCGGCAGGGACAGAATTACACAGTTCTTCGGGGGATTTGCCGGTCATTTGTAGCTAAGAAATGCCAAAAATAGAGTGTTGGAACTGTTGGAGTGACATCATGGGTATGTATTCAACTAGGAAGACCGAACTAGCAAACCGGATTCCGAGCGGTTCGGCCACAGGGACATTTTCTCCCGTCAACCCAGGCGAGGAAGGGGCGAGAAAGGGGGTCTGATTGTATAAAATACACGCCCAAATCCTCATAATATAGACTCGTTTATTAATAATCCCTTTTTGCGGGTGGGTGCGCGTCGACACAAACCCTTATCATGTTGTATGACGGGTTTTGGTAGTGATCTGTGAAAAATGGCTGAGCATGCTAGCGAACAGAAAAACAAACTGTACAAACTGGAAAGTGTGAGACCGAACGAACAAAAGCGTGGAGGCGGTGCGATTGCAAGCTACAAGTCAGTCTAGCCATACACAGAGAAAGTACCAAGAGTAGCCGAGATTCCTACCCATTTAATTACGAATTGACTTGATTCATTCATGGGGCGCTCGGGTGTGCGATCGTATTAAAATCTTTGCGTCAAAAGAGTGCCATATCGGACGTGCTGCAAAAATGCATCCCCCCATTTGGATTGAAGAACCTCTTCATATGGAGGGTTTATGAATCAAGAGTCTACATGAATCAACCTCGAGCCTCAGAAAAGTTAGCGGGCCAACTCTGTGGTTCTGGGAATCCCGACAAAAAGAGTGAAGAGATCAGCCACAACGGCCGGATGACATCGCGTGGCCAAAAAACATTGCCGTCAGATTGAATCACTTAGATCAAAATCTGGGTTTCCCTTCCGAAGGCATTGGACACCATCGACACCTGCCAACTTCTTGATGAACAAATCAGCCAACTTCTTCCAACACCAACCATCCATCACCCGCCCCAACTCGTTGGGCGTCCCCCACTTCATATCTCCAGCCACGTGGAGCAACTTCACTTTCTCACCACATTGGCAGCATCGCCTCCGGACGTTGCGGACGTCTGAAGGGTTCGGAATGCGGCGAGTCATGTGTCGACACGTGTCGAATCAGCATGCGGTGTCCGGGACATGCTGGCCAATCACACACCCGTGCAGCTTGGCCAATCTCAAGGTTAAGTGATGTATAGTGATGTCTCTTTTGTTCAATCATATATATATATATATTTGCTTTATAAGGTATGTTTTTCCAAAGCGAGTTTACAGTCAAAGGATGTTGGAAACCATTTGTCAACATGTCATTGACAGAATGACTGTGTGTCAACCACACCATTTGCCAAACATGCATGTTCTGCAAGGGATCCCTTTGGTTTGCAAGGGATCCGAATGTTGTGCAGTTCCCATGCACCGTTCCCAAGCACCGTTCTCCAATGCCACGTTGGCAATTGAAAGCCAAAATTTCCCAGGGTTTGGTGATTTTGGGTAGCCAGCCCCTATAGGCCTCAAGTGAAAATGACATAAAATAACTATAATATATATATAACATGTCAACACGAAAGCAAATGAACTAGATTGATGGGTGGTTTGCAGGTGTGCAAACATGTCAACAGGTGATTCTCAGAAAAACTCGCATCTCTCTGGATAACCTCGTCGCTCCGCCTGCCACTGCGGTCCGCTGAGCAGTAGCGTTCCTTCTTGTGGCCCTGAGGAACCGTGGTTCTCAACCGAGGAAGGCAAAGATGAAGTTGAAGCCATCATGCTACACTTCTGACGAACACAAAACACGAGTCGCAAGGACATTGAAAAATGGATGAACATGGTCCCTTACAAGACGCTTTCCTTTCAGGAACCGGGGGTGCCGGGTCCCCACTGAAGTGGGGGTGTTCGTCGGAGTGTCAATACCCTGCTAGAACCCACCAGTGACCCACTGTGACCCACTTTGTAGGTGTTAGGATGTTGCGGGTGGCTTTGGTGGGGTCAAAGTATCTTCACAGGCTTCACAGGATGTGTTCTTTTGAAGAGCAACACCTGACGCGTTCAGGAGTGAACAGTGAAACCTGACGTCACTAACTCGGCTGCTCCAAACAATACAAGCAAAGTGCACGCTTGCAATCGCAAGCATACACTCACTCATCAGGTCTCCATCGGGAATCCGGCAAAGAATCTTCACTCTTCAGCCTGAACCACCCAAAACAAATTGGGAATCGGAAACTCCTTCAAACCGGCCAAACCGGTGCAAAACACCATGAGATCTCGTCCCATGCAGCCAAACAGACGGCGATGCTGTTCGGCGAACACTCGGCAAACCTCGCCTCGTACAAGGCGTAGGCGCGCAAACGCTCCTGGCGGTTCACATCGCTCATCGGCAAAAAGGCCCAAGCGGACAAGACGTCCATCCTGAGCGGCGTCGAAGTCGAGAGGCGATCGAAGCCGAGGTCATGTTCCAGTGGATGCTACGGAAGGGAAGTATTTAATCTACCTATATATATATAGCCTATTATAGGCCAACATGTCTGCCCAATTTCACTTAGGCAGACAATTCTTGCTAAACACTCTCATCTCTACCATAACCGGGTCACGGGTCAGTCCCAACTTCTTGGATGAGCTGGTTGGATTCACTCGGTCATACGCTCGATCATTTGATGCAATCTGTCAAAGGCTCCGGAAGTGGCCAAAGGCAGTAGTTGGGTCTATCATCTATCCTATTACCAGTGGATGATGATGGGGCCTGGCTGCAGGCCTTTCTCAAAAAGAGTGGTTTGCTTGTTTACCAAGGGCATCCAACGGCTCTACAGGTTTGCTGGGACAAACCCAAGGCATCAGTGATGATGCATCCAAAGACGGAGTTCATGAAACATGTGACGATGTCTTTGTGTCAGTGCACGAGGAAACAGAAGAAATCATGCACCCCCTCCCTGAATGAAACACGAAAGCTCTAGCAAACATGAGCAAAACAGGGTCTGGTGTTTAGAAGTGCTGAAAAGCCCTCCCTCTTCAGCAAATGGAACTGAGAACCTAGCTCTGGAAGAGCTGACACGGACCCCCTGTCTGTGAAGGCCATTTCATCGCTCGATCGTTGCGACTCTGCACCTCGCAGATTGACCATATGTCTTTCGTTCAAACAAAGCCAACCCCCACCAGGATTTCTTAGAGATTCTTGGACAGTCGAAAACGCCCAGGCAAGTGGGTAAAGCAAAGTTCCGGGCGGCGTAAGTGTACTCTCGACACTTCTCCTGGTGGGGTGCCATGGAGAACCTTTGTGTCAAATGGTCTTCTGGCAACGCGGGCAACAAAAAAAACACATGCATTTCGAGGAATAGTCCACTCTTGAATGTTGCAAAGGCGAAGCATTTTGTGTGACACAAAACAAATTCGCCATTGCAACATTCAAGTGCCTGGAGCCGACTGCCTGGGCCTGCGACCGCCTGGTGCCTAGGCGGGGCGGCACAAAAACAAATATCGAAGGCCCGTGGGGCCCGTGGGCACCAGTTGCCCCAGTTGCCCCCCAGTTGCTGGAAGAACTTGCAGCTCAAAAAACCCTCAAAGTGCTCGACGAATGTGCTCGACTCGTGCGAAAGACCTCTCGTGCTTCTTTCGATGCTCGACTCGTCTTCCTCTCCAGTGAGCTGAACTCGTAGGAACGAACGTGCTGTCCATCGAGGATGCGAGGCGAGTTCCAGTCCAAAGGAGCTTAACGGAGGAGCTGAAGACGGATGGGTTTGGTCGGCATGGCCCATTCCCCAACCCACCAACCCATTGGAATGGCTCATTCTCCGTCTTTCTTCATGCCAATCTTTCTGAAAAGATCTGCGTGGTATGCTCCCGTCCACGCAACAATCTCAATGCTTGCTGCCATTGCCCAGCCTTTTCACAGGCAGTGATCGTGGCACTGTAGCTAATTAAATCAGGCTTCACGTTGGCCTGATACATGACCTCAAACAACCTCAGCGCTTGCTGCCATTCCCCGCCCTTTCCGCAGGCGCTGATTGCTGCATTGTAGCTGATCACGTCGGGCCGCAAATTGACCTTGGGCATGGCTGTAAACAATGTCAATGCCTGTTGCCATTGCCCTCCCTTTTCGCAGGCACTGATTGTCGCATTGTAGCTAACCACATCGGGTTGCAAGTTTGCCTTGTACACGGCCTCAAACAAACTCGATGCTTCTTGCCATCGTCCGCCCTTTTCACAGGCACTTATAGCCGCACTGTAGCCAATAACATCAAGCCGCATGTTCACCTCGAGCATGACCTCCAACAACTTCAACGCTTGCTGCCATTGCCCGTCCTTTTCGCATGCACTCATTGCCGCACTGTAGCTGAACACAGTGGGTTGTAAATTTGCCTGGGACATTGCCTGCATCAACGCTAATGCTTGCTGCCATTGCCTGCCCTTCTCGCAGGCACTGATCACCGCATTGTAGCTAGTCACAGTGGGCTGCAAATGTGCCTTTGGCATGGCCTCCAACAATATCAATGCTTGCTGCCATTGCCCGGCTTTTTCACAGGCACTGATGGTTGCATTGTAGCTGATCATATTGGGCAAAATGTTGGTCTTGGGCATAGCGGCAAACAATGTCAACGCCCGCTGCCATTGCCTCCCCCTTTCACAGGCACTGATGGCTCCATTGTAGTTTACAACGTTGGGCTTCATGTTGGCCTCGAGCATGGCCTCGAAAAGAGTCAATGCTGGCTGCCATTGATGGCCCCTTCTATAGGCACTGATTGCCGCACTGTAGCTAAACACAGTGGGCTGCAAGTTTGCCTGGGACATAACCTGAAACAACACTATTGCTTGCTGCCATTGTTGGCCCTTTTCACAGGCACTGATTGCCACATTGTAGTTAACGACATTGGGCTGCATGTTTGTCTTGGACATGGCCGCCAACAACTTAACTGCTTGCTGCCATTGCCCACTCTTTCCACAGGCACTCATAACCACACTGTAGCTAATAACGTTCACCTGCAAGCTGGCCTCGCGCATTGCTTCAAACAACCTCAATGCTTGTTGCCATTGTCGATCCTTCTCACAAACACTCATTACCACGCTGTAGCTAATGACATTCGCCTGCAATGTGGCCAAGGGCATATCCTCAAACAACTTCAATGCTTGCTGCCAGTGCCCACCCGCTTCAAGGGCACTGATGGTTGCACCGTAGCTGATCACATTAGCCTGAATGTTGGCCTTGGGCATAGCCTCAAACAACATCAATGCTCGCAGCCATTGCCTGGCCTTTTTACAGGCACTGATGGTTGCATTGTAGCTAATCAGATTGGGCTGAATGTTGGCCTTGGGCATAGCCTGAAACAACTTCAATGCTTGCTGCCACTGCCCGCCCTTTTCAGAGGCACTGATTGCTGCATTGTAGCTGCTCACATCAGGCTCAATTCTGGCCTTGGGCATAGCCTCAAACAATGTCATTCCTTGCTGCCACAATTTTGACTTGGCATAAAATGATATGGCAAAAACATACTGGGAAGCATTTAGCTTGATTGTCTCATGTTTCTGGATTGCTTCCAAGAAAGGAAACACAAGATTGCCGTTCTGCTGGTCACTCAGAGCTCTCAAGACCTGTGGAAGCTTTTCCTCTGAGCGTAGCACTTCCGGGAGCAGCACACTTCCAATGTTGCTTTCATTCGCCTTCCTGCAAAGCTCCAGCACTGCTTCGTCCATGGTGCTTTCCCCTACAGATCGCCGCTGTCTGAAACAAACACGTCCAAGCCTCATTGGGCTCACACAGGAAGGACATCAAAACCCAAAACCCTTGAGCCCGAGGTCTGGCATTGAATATTCACATCCGCAACAATCCCCGCGTGTTCTTGCCCAACACGTCCACGTCACCCTGGTCGCCCCATTCAGCGTGGTCAGGTCTGCACCTGGATCAAACTGATAGGTTTTGCTCCCCCCAAAAAACACGTAGACTGGTCGATTTCCCCAACCTTCCAAGGGTCGTTGCCGCATTGCCTCGCAGGTGTCCTACTATTTCAATACACACCCCTGTACAATGATATATAACCCTATAGTGCATCACATCAGTCAATTCCCCCAAAGCAAACATATCTAAACAACTCAAAACAGTTCAAAACATATGTTTGTCTTTGGTGAGATAATATACCAACATGTTAACATGTGCATCTTGATCAAAAGTCCAAACAGTCGGCTTTGCCGACCAACATGTCAATCGCATGACCAGCGGAGTTCTTCTTCTGTTCGTCCCGATAGTGGTTTGGCGTTCCCGTCTCTCGAAAAACTATATGACTCACTGGGACCAATCATCTCAAGTAGAGGTTGAACATCAAACCCTAGGGAGTCCCAGTGATGAGACTATTGGTAGAACTGAGACTCTACTGGGAGTCCCTAGGGATTGATATTAAGATACAAATATAATATACAAACCCTAGGGATCCAGTCGTACCGAACCTCAGGTACAGTGAGGACGGAGACTATTGATGTAGGCACCAGGAGGGCCCAGTTGTACCTTCTGAGAAGGTATGTGGATCCCTAGGGAAAGAATAATATAGAAGAATATCTGAAACCACCCGCCAGCTCCGTGTTTTTTAAAGTGTCTGTAAAACATCAACAGAAAATACCAACCGGGCCAACGGGCGCCGACGGGGTGATGTGAGCTCCCGTCTATCAGGGATCTGTCTATCTATCTGATCGGCGGCAGTTCTTAGGGAAGTCAGGGAAGTCATTGGACTGATGTAAAACAGGTGATTTGAAAGAATCCAAAGAATTCCAAAGACCCATCAACCAAAGGGATTGGACAGGTTTTTGGAGTGCTCCCATCTTCGACCTCAAAAATCACCAGGATGCGCTGGGTGTAGACCCTACAAGTCATCACCCTAAACAGGCCGTAAACAGGTGATGACTTGACAAGTGAACAGAGACTTGTCATAACAGACTTGCTTCACCTGTTATAACAGGTTAGGAAGTAAACAGGTCATAAACAGGTCTCTACAAGTCGCCTTCGTCGCTTTCACCGGTCCGAGACCGGCAGGACCGGTCGGAGGACCGGGGTCGCCCAGCACGCGATGCTTCCAAGAGTCGTCCCAGATGCTTCCGGGATCTCTTGGGTCATACCCCCCCCCGAAAAAAATGGATTTTGGAACATAATTGGATATGATATGATGATGTCCCAGCAAGGACACAACATCAAATAACATCAAATACATGTTTCTCACACTGCTCTCCCCACTTCATCCCTAGATTCTTTCCTCTCCCCTTTTCCTCCCCAGAAATTCCTCACGTCCGAAGCGCTCATCGGGGCAAAAGACTTCCAACCGCGTCACGGAGACCTCAGCGCCGCGCCAATACCGTCGCCGGTGCGGCCGGTGCGATTGGTGTCGCACACCACTGATCATATGAACTGATTGGTGTTGGGCTGAGCTGAGTCTCAGGTCCAGGGCACCTGCCCCGCCCCTTGATGGCTAAAAGAACCAGCACACATGAGCAACAAAAAGAACATAGTAGGTCGGTTTAGGTCTGTCAGTCTGTCAGGGTCTGTGCAAGGCGTCCTGGGTTTGCTGGGTCTCCTGGTTCCAAAACGTCGAGCACCGCCGAACTTCTGGAGCACTCCGAAAAGCCGCGCTTGCGGAGTCAAGCGCGATTTGGCCAACTCTACAGTGTCCTGCGTGTACTCATCGATCACTTGTGACGCGTTTTTTTCTGATCCGGTGCCATATAGGAACAGACTGTCAGACTGTCAAACCTGGCAACGCGGTCAACTTCTGTCCAAAGCATGTCCGGTGTTCCACCACGTCGCAACCGGGTCCGGTGGAGAAGGACCGGAAGACGTGCTCCGGTCCGGTGCGAGGTGCTCCAGACGCCCACCATGGGACTGGACGTGCTTCACGGGACTGGCCTTCACCCCCTGCCATAGATCGATTCTCAAACTATTCATGGGACTGGCCTATTGACTGATGAGGACAGGGGTGGTTTTTCTTGATTCCAAGCGTCTTTCTGGGGCGGCATTTCTTTTTCCAGTCCCATGGATGGAGTCTGGGGTTGAAGTAATGTAAAGTCTTCATGCACTGCGGCACTGGGGCGGCCAAGATTCCGTCCCCTTGTACCTGGAAAAGTTCAATTGGTCCCGATCTCTCCAATCAATGGCCACTGAATGGCCTAGATTTGCAAGTGGTCAAGCGCCAGAAGGCCAGTTCCAATCACCTCAAACGGCGCCAGAGCTTGCCGCATGGTGCTTGACCACTTGCTTGGATCAGGAAAAAAGAATGAAAAGCGCGAGGCTGCCTTGCTGATACTGAGCCCCTGGAGGTCGATGTTGAAAGCTCCAGGCATGCATTGCTGATACTGGTTATGAATCTCAGCCTAGTATGCCCAACCTGTTAGACGATGCATCAAACGCATCTGAGATTATCTGATCCGAATCTAGGACCGTATCACCTCGCGTCCTGGGCGACTCGCCAGACTCACACTGAGCATGTCGAAGGACCATGGCCTCGACCTTTGCGTGGCATGGCCCCCAAGAAGTGCAATGCCAGCTGCCATTGCCCGACCTTTTCACAGGCAATGACGACGGCACCTGAGATTTTGCTGGGAACCGGGAAAAAGAATAACACATATTGGGTCTATCCTAATACCTGGGCCCAGTGGATGATGATGGTTCTATAGAGGCCGACTGTCCAAAAATAGTGATACTTGTAGGCCTTGTCCCAATAGGTTGGGGAATAACACATTCCCTATAGCTTTGGGGATTCACCCAGTAAGGGGACATCAAAAATAATCATCCCATCTGCGAAATCACGGCACTGAAGCTGATCAGTGTTGGTTGAATGCTGGCCTTGGGCATGAACTCAAACAAACTCAATGCTTGTTGCCAACAACCACCCTTTTCACAGGCACTCATGGCCGCATTGTAGCTAACAACTGTTGGTTGAATGTTGGCCTTGTGCATGGACTCGAACAACGTCAATGCACGCTCCCATTGACCGCACTTCTCACAGGCACTGATGGCCGCACTGTAGCTGATCACCTTGGGTTGAATGCTGGCCTTAGGCATGGCATCAAGCAACGCCAATGCTTGCTGCCACTGACCACACTTCTCACAGGCACTAATGGCCGCGCTGTAGCTAATGACATCCGGCTGGATGTTGTGCTTCTGCAATGACTCAAACAGCGATAATGCTTGCTTCCATTCACTTCCCTTTCCAAGGGCACTGACAGCGGCATTGTAGCTAATCACGTCGGGTTGGATGTTTGCCTTGGGCATTGCATCAAACAACATCAATGCTTGCTGCCATTGACCACACGTTTCGCACGCACTGATGGTCGCATTGCAGCTGATCGTAGTTGGTTGAATGCTGGCCTTCAGCATGGCGCTGAAGACTTTCAATGCTCGCTGCCATTCCCGACCCCTCCCAAGGGCACTAATGGCCGCGCTGCAGCTGATCACACTTGGCCGAATGCTAGGCATGGGCATGGCATCAAATAACCTCAATGCGTGCTGCCATTGCCGGCCCTTCTCACAGGCACTGATGGCTGCATTGTAGCTGATTACGTTGACCCGAATGTTAGCTGTGGGCATAGCATCCAGCAACATCAATGCGCGCTGCCATTGCCCGCCCTTTTCACTGGCACTGAGCATTGCATTGTAGCTAATCAAATTGGGCCAAATGTTGGCCTCGGGCATGGCCTGAAACAACTTCAATGCTTGCTGCCACTGCCCGCCCTTTTCAGAGGCACTGATTGCTGCATTGTAGCTAATCACATCAGGCTCAATTCTGGCCTTGGGCATAGCCTCAAACAATTCCATTCCTTGCTGCCACAATTTTGACTTGGCACATGATGATATGGCAAAAGCATACTGGGACGCATATAGCTTGATTTTCTCATGCTTCCGGATTGCTTCCAAGAAAGGAAATATAAGAATGCCATTCTTCCGGTCACTCAGAGCTTTCAGTACCTGTGGAAGCTTCTCCTTCGAGCGTAGCACTTCCGGGAGCAACACACTTCCAATGTTGCTTTCAGTCGCCTTCCTGCAAAGCTCCAGCACTGCTTCGTCCATGGTGCTTTCCCCTACAGATCGCCGCTGTTTGAAACTAACACGTCCAAGCTTCATTGGTCTCACACAGGAAGGACATCAAAACCCTTGAGCCCGAGGTCTGGCATTCCTATTCACATCTGCAATTATTCTTCACATTTGCATGAGTGTTTAACTTGAAAACCAAGCAGAAAAAAACACCGCTGTTTTTTAACTTCATCTGTTTAGATCGAACCGGAGGACCCCAAAGATCAAGGTGAAGCGAACGCACTCCACTCGTTTTCTTGTTTTAGTGGAGAGACCGATTTCCCCCCAAAAAAGGTGTTTTGCAGGAGACCGTTTTCCGAAACAATCGCGGAAGTATGTGGAAGTGGGACTTCTCCTGTTAGAGGAAAGCCGTTCTTCCTTTCGGTGCCATGTTCCGTTCCACTTCCATGTTAGTTCGGAGGGTACTTACATTGACCGCATACAATTCTTCCCCGTGAAATGAGATGGTATACCAACCAAGCTATGTGTTCGTTTGGTTTTGGAACCAGCCATGTTTATCTATTTTCTATCCAGTGATCTGTGATTCCAGGTGTCTCCAGTGAGCCACCTCCGTCAGCCAAAACGAAGCCCAGAAAAACCGCACCCCTCAGTCTCGGGTGACCCCAGGCTTGGCTCCGATGGCGTGCGCACGCGTGCCACCGGCGGTGTCACCTTCTTCACCGGTTGGAACCCGAAGCCAACATCTTCCGCACAAGAGGATTCATCCATAGACAAACATCAACAAAGGAAACCTAATCAAAACCGAGGAACCCTGGCCAAAGTAGGCTGACGGTGACAAGCTGGAATGGAAGCTCTAGAGAAATGCAATTAATGTCCTCATAACCCTGGAAGTGCCACGCATCCTGAGGCCAGCGCCATGCCAGGGTAGCGCCGTCGCTCTCGTAGCTGGGGTAGCCAACGTTCAGGGCCTGAGCCAGTGCCGTTGGGATCCTGAAGATCCCCAGAGCCCGTAGCATGCCCATAGCCAAATAGTCAGTATGACACATCCATTCACTACATTTCACCACCAAAACCAACCAAATTGTTACAATTTTAGACTCTTGTTGGGGAGCATCTGAGCATCTGGGAGGTGCTCTGGTTCAGTTCTGATCTGAAGATGGAATCTCAGTCAATCCAACCTACACTTTGACTTACCAACATGGAAGTCAAGGACTTTCTGTTTCTAGAGGAATCACTCTTCCAGGGGCCATGCCATTCACTTCCATGTGGAGAACCCCCGTAGCGAGACTATAGTATGGGTATACAGTAAAATAGGGAGACCTACCATGCAACTTTTCCCTGGGTTCGGTTCGGGAAATGGACCAACATCCAGTCGGCCAGGGGGTCTCCCTTAAAAAGAACAAACTACTGGGAGGATCATCACAAACTTCCAGAAGACAGAGTGGATACGGTATATCGCACCCCACCAGAGACAGTGGATGATGATGGATGATGGCTACGGTTGCAGGCCAACATCTCCCAAAAAGAGTGACGATCCTTTTACAAAGTGTTACTGGTAACGGGAAGTTACCCTATGGGTGGATGCTTCTACCAAGTCCGAGAGGTCCAGCAAACATATGATTGTCAGTACCAACCGGACATATGGGATTGGGTTCCTGGAAAGGGCCAAGGAAGTTCTTCCAAAGGGATGATGTGAAGCCGAAGTTCTGCTTGGACCAACGAAGGGTTGGTAGCAATGCTTGGGTCGAAACACAGCCCCAGCTAACAGCATCTACCTCCTTCTGTGTGTTTGTGTATGGCCGAGCGCTCTACTAGTCTATGGTCTTTGGTGAGGAGAAAGTTCGCAGTAGCCCTGACTGGAAAGAATGATCGAAAGAACCCCCACTACACTCCGGTCGATGGATTGATGGATGATGATGGGTGAGTAGCTTTCGAATGCTTTCGGTGGTTCGTTTGCTGCTTTCCTGGTAAGTTCGAGAGTATATACCAGGAACTCCATCATATATCATCATATACCTCACCCCACTAGATTGTCCTGTGGAATTTGGCTCTTGAATCTCCTGGGTTTGATCCGCCTGGAAAGGACAACAAAAACCATGTGATGATTCTTCGGGGAGTGTTGATTCTGAGGTCTTGAAGGTCTCTTGAGCGATTCGAGGGTCGAACCAACCTTTTTATGCCCTAAGAACATGACATCCCTATGGAGGTTTAGGTGGGGGGTATGGAACCTCTTTTTATAGATATAAAGTAGTGGATCATCCCTTAGGGGCCTCGAATTGAAGGAGACTAAGGAAACAAGCATTTACATAAAATGACCATGAGCTACGTACAACATGCCTCATCCAAGCAGCTGTGCAAAAGCTGACACAGAGCTTGCAACAACACCCCATCCTCTATAGAATGACGCCCCAACCCCCCCTCATTTCATAGAGGATACCTCCATGGGTATGACATGACTTAGGAGGCATTTTCCATTGCAATCTGTATTGTGCTGGTGGTCCACAACCTTTCTGTTGAACTGGCAGCCACACCTGAAAATGACCTCAAGAAGCAACCGCGCAAAACAGAATGAGCGCATGGTCAGACGCCACAACATCATTCGCAGCAAAAGACCTGGCAGCCCTGGCACCATTTTCAATCCTGAAACTGCGAGCGAGACCCATGGCCCGTGAGTGCCATTGCGAAGGTTCGTCAACCCTTCAAAGCCTGACTGGTGCGACGCAAGTTTGGTTCCCAAGAGAGATTCCTACTCGCTTATATTATAGCCTTCCATTCAGCAAACAGAGTTCGGTTGAGCTGGCGTTGTAGTCTACAGCCTCGGAAACATATCCTTCAATCAATGGTTGGCCAGGAATGCTAGGGTACTGTCTCACCGCAACAGTGGACGTCACTGCGACAGTTCTTGAGATACGTGGCCAAGTGCCTTGCCAGCGCTTCAGCAACAAGAGAACTTATCAGTTGAAGCTGGCTCCAGCACGGCGCAGGGCTGGCAAGTCTGCCTCCCCCAAACAAACTTGAATTGCACCTTGGTTCTTGCGCAACACCGCTGCTTGAAGTCCGAGATCGTCTTGCAAGAGTTTCAAGCTCGCCTGGCGCATGTCTGTAGTGTCCCACTCTTTCCGAGATTTGCCATACCCAGTGACGATGAGGCATGTCAATTCCTTCTCCTGCTCCAGCTTTGTGGCAATTGCAGTGGAAAGCCAGTGACACAGCACAGCACGGGCAAATCCCTCGGAGAGGTCATGAAGGTCGATCTCCGAAGCGCCACAGCCCTTCAATTCCAGAATCTCTGGTAAGTTGCACTTCTCAAACAAAGCTCTGCCAATGGCACTGTCCCGGATTTCAGCACAATCAAATAAGGCATTGTAACTTACCAAATCTGGTGGCACATTTGCCTCAAACATGGACTCAAACAACTTCAATGCTTGCTGCCATTGCCCGCCCTTCTCACAGGCACTGATGGCAGCACTGTAGCTGATCATGTTGGGCTGAACTTTCACCTTGGGCATGGCCTCAAACAACTTAAATGCTTGCTGCCATTGCCCGCCCTTCTCACAGGCACTGATGGCAGCACTGTAGCTGATCACATCGGGCTGAACTTTCGCCTCGGGCATGGCCTCAAACAACTTCAATGCTTGCTGCCATTGCCCACCCTTCTCACAGGCACTGATGGCAGCATTGTAGCTGATCATGTTGGGCTGAACTTTCGCCTTGGGCATGGCCTCAAACAACTTCAATGCTTGCTGCCATTGCCCACACTTCTCACAGGCACTGATGGCAGCATTGTAGCTGATCCTGTCTGGCTGAACTTTCGCCTCGGGCATGGCCTCCAACAACTTCAATGCTTGCTGCCATTGTCCGCCCTTCTCACAGGCACT